CTGCTCCAAATATTCCAACCTTTTTATTGATTTAGTAGAGATTCCCCTCCATTTATTGATTGCTTCCATGTCCATTTTATATTGTTCCAAATGCCTGGACTCGAATTCAAAGACCCTTTTGCGCAACCTCCTGTATTTGACTTGTGCTTCAACAGCATCGTCTATGACCCTATTCCTCAAATCAACCCCTGGCTTGACCTCTCCTGCTATGTCATCGACCAATCATGATGGGTAGAAGTACACATGGCCAGCATGATACCTGTCTGGCTCGATGGTATCTTTCTCCACAATAATCTTTTGATGACACATGTGTTGTGCCTTGAACTTGAATGGAATGACATTTCCTTGGAAATCTGTTTTGTAATGAACCATCTTGGAGACTCGTGGTATGACATGTTTTCTCCCAGCTTGCCTCATGACCCTGATAGGAGCATAAAGATAGATTCCGCTTAATCCGATTAGCATTAGATGAGGAACATATCTTGACCTGATGATGAATTTGATAGTGGGGAACCATTCAAACATCTAATGGACCTTGTCGTCAGTCAAATTGCTAAAGAAGTGTACCCAGCCCACAACATTTCCTGGTTGTGCAAACCTATCTGGGATAAAAGTCATTCTTTTCGGATGGTGAAAAGTTATGTGGTCATTCCATGGTCGCCGCAGAAATTCTTGATGGTATTGTCCCCTTTGAAGATGCTCCAACAGCCATATTTGCAGTAACAGATTGCAACCCTCAAAATGCCTATATCTTTTCTTCCAACGGTACGAGGCTCGGTATATCTCCGCTACGATCATTGGGACAATAGTGTAAGTCTGTCCCTCGATTCCTTCCATTAGGGTCTTAGTAACCATAGATAAGTGAGTGTGAATCCTTTCTCCTTGTATTGGGAGTACCAGCATCCCTAGAAAACAGACAATGAACCCAAAAACCCGGCGATGAGTCCAACCTAGAGAGGTGATAGAAAATTCATCATGATAAAGACGATAGGAGTTGTTGTGCCCATAACGCTCGTAAAGGAAGTCAAATGGTATGTAGGATTTCTTCAGACAGACTAACTCATCATTTTTCTTGAAACCCTTCATTTTCAAAAAACCTCGAGAAGTGCGATTTTTCGGGAGAATAGGCTCCAAGCAGTGCTTGCACCGGAGGAGGTTGTTCAACAATTTAGAGAGCAGTTAAGCGAAAAAAAACAAGAAAGAACAAAGTTCACACTATCAAGAACCAAGAATTTCTAGCTTTGGCTTTCAGCCGGCCAGGAACCAGAATATAGAACAAGAGTATTTAAATAACAAAGAGCGATAACTTTATTTTTTTAGTAAAACATTAACGATTCCCATCATCCCCCCAAAGGGTGAAGGGTTTATATAGTAGTAGAAATTAATATATAAACTAGGAAAATCATCAATCAAGCACGAGAAAGGAAAGAATCATCATATGCAATCAAATCAGTAAGGAAAAAAGAAAAATCTCAAACCCTAATTTTAGGGAAAGTGTAAAATCGGCAGAAATCTAAAATAAATAAGAAGTAAAAATCACATGTTGCATAGAATAAGATGAACATAGATAGAAATACCTTTTAAAAAATAAAGAATCGGACCCGATTTGGTCCAATTTAAAAGAATCTGAAACCCTAATTTTAGGATGAGTAGGAATCACAGAAATACACAGAGATTCATACCATAAAAGAACAAGAATGAACATAGACGGAAATAGGTCAAGGAACTGAACAAGCTTTGGTTCGAAGTTGATGAGATACGCTTGCCATGCTTAGGCAAGCGGTATATAGAAGGTTCNGTTGATCTCGGAGATTAACGGCCACGATTAGTCGGCGGTTCTGGGTCGGGTTGGTTAATTGGTCGGGTCGGGGTTAATTTGGTTTGGGCTCAAAGGTTATTGGGCTGGGATTGGGTAGTTTTAGGTCCGAAAATAGGTTAAAATTAGGCTATTATTTAAATACCCATTATTTTTATCAATAAACAAGTTATAAAAGTAATTAATAAATATCAAAAACATCATTTGTACATGAAAATGATTAAAAATAATTATTTAACATTATAAAAATATAAAAAGTTATTTTATGCATAAATAATATAATTATACTTGCATATGGGCTATTATTGTAAAATGTGCAATTTGACCCTAAAAATGCAAATGTAATTATAAGAAATGCCCTAAAAATATTGAATTCTTTTAAAATGAAGTAAAAGAAAGAATCGAGCTAAGGAACACTTACCTATGATTTGGGGAAGAAAATGTCGTTGAAAAATCGTCCTAGGCCTCCTATCCTTTTGAAACTAGAAGAAAAATAGTTGGAGACCGAATTAAAAGAACTCACTGCCCAGCGATCTTTGCACCTGCGGTGCTTTGGTCTCACCTGCGCATCCGTACATGCGGACAGGACGTGCGCTTCTGCGGAAAAAGACTGGGCCAGCTGGGGCCGCACCTACGGACAGGGCTCCGCTCCTGCGGAGAGAAGTCCGTATCTGCGAAAAAATAAAGTCCAGGCCTGGGTCGCACCTGCAGGGCTATCGCTCGCACCTGCGACCAAAGGCTCGCAGGTGCGGGAATACCAGATTTGGTGCACCAGCAGCCTTGTTGAGGTTTGAACTCAACTCGCACATCGCTCGAATGGCACCCGACGCCTCAGGGCTCCAAACCAAGCATGGACTCAAGTCTAAAAAGATTATACGGACTTGCTCGCGCGATCAAATCGCCAAAACAATGCCTAGAACTACCAATTTAGCACCAAATCAAATGAAATTCTCAAGAACACTTTAAAATTTCTATTTTCTCAACTGGACATCCAAATCACGTCAAATCAACTCTGTTTCTCACCAAATTTCACAGATAAGTCTTAAATATCATAATGAACCTGTACCGGGCTCCGAAACTAAAATACGAACCCGATACTAACAATGCCAAATATCAATCAATTCTTAAAAATAAATAATTTTTAAACTTTTAATTTTCATCAAAAATTCATAACACAAGCTAGGGACCTCCGAATTCGATTCCGGGCATACGCCCAAGTCCCATAATTTGATACGGGCCTACCGGGACCGTCAAAGCACGGATCCGGGCCTGTTTACCAAAAATATTAACCGAAATCAACTAAAATCAACTTTTAAAGTAAATATTCTTATTTTTATTTGTTTTCAACATAAAAGCTTTTCAGAAACCTGCCCGGACTGTGCACGCAAATTGAAAAGGGTAAAAATAAGATTTTTAAGGCTTAAGAGTGCAGATTCGAGTTCTAAAACATAAGATGACATTTTGGGTCATCACAAAACTAGTTAATATAAAATACACGAGCAAAGCATGTACCATGAGGTGAGATAAGGTGGGCTTGATATGCGTGGCTAGTAGAGGAACTATTAGAAACCATGGGGTCTGATAAGGTGGGCTAAAACGCGGAGTTCTATTTCGAAAAAAATGATTTACAAAACTAATTGTAAAGTCTCTCGCGGTGATATAAGGAAAGATAGTGAGTTACTTTTATGATTTGGGACTACGAGGCGGTATCTTAGTAGTGGCCCTTGTTAATCTTCCTCTATTTGTTGTATTTGCCTTGGTTGTTTGTTTCCTTATCATGTAAATCCTTGTTTCCTTCTGTTTGTATTAACTGTCTTGATTCCGTATTGTTAACTTTTCGTAAATTTCTTATTGTTTCATTTCCATTGTCATTAGCATTATATCGTTATATCTTTCATCTTGTTTCATATTATCTCCAGTAGGGGCTTGACCTGACCTCGCCACTACTCTACCGAGGTTAGGCTTGGCACTTACTGGATACCGTTGTGGTGTACTCATGCTACATTTCTGTACATCTTTTTGTGTAGATCCAGGTACCTCTTACTAGACCAGGCACTAGCGAGAACTCAATTTTGGAGACTTCAAGGTATACTTGCCGGCGTCCGCAGGCCTCGGAGTCCCCCTCTGCCTAGTTATTTTATTTTCTTATCCTTTATTAGCCACTGATGTATAGAGATATTCAGTATCACTTCGTAGAGCTTGTAACTTGTATTTCGTCGGGTTTTGGGCAATCATATATATATTGAGTTGTGGAGATTTTCTTATTATTAGTTGTTTCGTTCTGAGACTCTAAATATTATTTCAGTTATTTCTGCATGAATGTTAGGCTTACCTAGTCTTAGAGATTAGGTGTCATCACGAAATCCTATGGAGGAAAATTGGGGTCATCACAATGTGCATGCAAAAATCTATAATATACATGCAATTCACCTTGATGTTGAGATAATGACATACCCTGAGATCTAATTTCCTATTTTTCTTCAATTCTTTAAACGCTTTAACTGTCAATGCAATACACTCGAGGGATTCCACAAATCCTATATCAATAATATCCACAATCCAACAGCTTTAAAGAAAGTAATCATATGTTAGATACCAAGCTTCAAATTCTTGCCATCAAACATAAAGACAAGACAATTAAGTAAATATGGAGTACCCATATTTTTTAAATATTTTATAGGATCTCACACAGGCTCTGATAGAATCTCACACAAGATCTGATATCAATTTGAGCGATTTTAATACCACAAGAATAATTTAGGCACAATTAAAAATTTCAAAAGACTATACAGAAAAATTTTATCAAACTAGAGAGAGGATGTGATAGGAGGCTTATTTATTCACTCATAAACGCTCTTATCTCTCTACATAATAGCTACCTTTCAACATTAGAAAATATGTAGCAGCACCGCTATTTATAATACTATAAACCAAAATTGACTAGAATTAGAAAACTTATTCCTATATGATTTTTGACTGCAAATCCTAATTAAACATGAATTAAATAAACTAGTAAATATTAAATCCTAAATAATATAAGAATATTAATTAATTTTGATTTAATATCCAACAATTTTTAGGGCGTTCTTCGAAGATACAAATGGATACACATACATAAATCTAGCGAAAAGGACATGAAGAATTGCGGAGGCCATGCTGACATTTCACCGTTCCAATCAAAACACTAAAATTCTGCATCATTTTTATAATTTGTGGCAACTAAATATAAGTCTTTCTGTTTTGCTGCACTTAATCCATGTGCTTCGGTCATATCCAGATCTTGTGAATTAGTTTCATGTGGAAGTTCCCATTCAAAGTGTTGGAGTAATTGGGCCAGTGAAAGTCCAACATTAACTAAACCAAATAGTATTCCTGGACAAATCCTTCTTCCTGCACCAAATGGAATAAACTCAAAGTGATTTCCCATAAATTTGATAGAAGAGTTCTTAAATCTCTCTGGTATAAAACTTTCAGGATCATGCCAACTTTCAGGATCTCTCCCAAGTGCCCATGCATTGACAATTATTCTTGTCTTAAGTGGTATAGTGTATCCATCAATATCTGTTTGCTCCTTACATTCCCTTGGTGGTAGAAGAGAAACCGAAGGATGTAGCCTTAGTGTCTCCTTAATCACTAAATTTAGGTATGTCATCACATATAATTTAATATAAAATTATTTTATACCATAAATTTTTAAATAATATAAATTATTAGCAAATATTATAGATTATATATATTAACGGATAATTCAAATAAAAGTGAAATCATTGAGATACAAGATAATTAAATACATATTATATTATGGTAAAATTTATATTAAATATTACATAAATATTCAACTTCCATCTCTAGTATTGTCACGACCCGAAATTTCTCACCGACGGGACAGTGATGGCGCCTAATATTTCACTTGCTAGGCAAGCCAACGTTAGAAAATCATTAAACCAATTCCTTATTTCCATTCAGTAATTAACAATAATTAACTAAGAGAAATATAATAAGTGCAGAATATCATAAAACTGTATTAATTACTACCACCGGGATCTGGAGTCACAATTCACGAGCATTCTAGAATTTATTACAAGCAATAGTCTGGAAGAAATACAACTGTCTGAATGTAAGAAACAGTGGAACAGAAAAGATAGACGGGGACTTCAAGGTATGTGAACGCCGACAGATCTACCTTGAGTCTCCGGACAACGGACCAATAGCAAAATCTAACCTGAGCTATACCAAAATCTGCACAGAAAGTGCAGAGTGCAGCATCACTACAATCGACCCCATATACTGGTAAGTGTCGAGCCTAACCTCGGCGAAGTAGTGACGAGGCTAGGACAAAACACTCACATATAACCTGAACAGTATAATCATGCTAGTGGCAACAACAGTAAATAAAGAAATAACGCATAAATAATGAGAAGGGGACATACAATGGGGGAAATACAATATAAAGAGTGAGAATAATTAGAAGACAGAATTAAACCGAAAATTCTTAAATGAATTGAGCAAATAAAACAGCAAAGGAAAACTGTACGGCATCACCCTTCGTGCTTTTACTCTCAACCTCACCAAATAAATAAATAGAATGGCACGGCATCACCCTTCGTGCTTTTACTCTCAACCTCACCAAATAAATAAATAAAACGGCACGGCATCACCCTTCGTGCCTTAAATCTGTCATAATATATACGGCATCACCCTTCGTGCTTTACACTCTTCCTCACAATATAAATAATGCATGCACGGCATCACCCTTCGTGCTTGCTCACAAATCACAGAATCAATAACAACGGATAGATAGGAGTATTACAAAGAAACCATTATTTTACCCATAATCAATAGCATAATGTAACCTCAACCTTGAATCAATATTCGAAAGTTACCAAATCTCGGTAAAACCATATATAAGTCACCCAACATTTCAAATAACCCGCTAAGCATGGATAGTAGAATTTAAGGCTACAAAATAGACAAGAATAGAATTTCACTCGCATGAAATGACTCGACAACGACGCATAGATGCTCGTCACCTCACCTATACATCGTATTTAACAACCAAACCAGTAGCAAATAAACACATAATACCTATTCCCTCAAGCCAAAGTTAGACACGATACTTACCTTGCTCCGAAAGCCACTTAATTCTCAATCACAGCTTTTCCTTTGGAATTCACCTCCAAACCACTCGTATCTATTCAAAAATGACTCAATAATATCAAATATTGCAAAAGAAATCAAATATATTGCATAAATTAAATATTCCCAAATTTCCTCCAAAAATTCGAAAAATTGACCCCGGGCCCGCTTAGCCAAAACCCGAGGTTCGGACCAAAATGCATTTACCCATTCACCCCCGAGCCCGAATATATAATTAGTTTTTGAATCCGGCCTCAAATTGAGGTCTAAATCCCAAAATTTCTGAAATTCCTAGTTTCTACCCTAACCCCTAATTCTACCATGAAAACTCTAGATTTTGGGTTGATAATTCAAGAAATGTAATGGGTAATTGAAAGAAAATAGTTTAGAATCACTTACCAACACTTTGAGGAAGAAAACGACTCTTGAAAATCACCTCTACCTGTTTGGTTCTTGAAAATTGTTGAAGAAATGGCTTAAGCCTGTGTTTGATTCTGCTTTATGCATTGGGCGACAGTGTGCAACATGTTCGCGAGGCCCGTTTATCAAAAATGTTGGCCGAAGTCAACTAAAATCAACCTTTAAGGCATAAATTCTTATTTTCATCAATTTACAACATAAAAGCTTTCTGGAAACATGCCGACTGCACACACAAATCGAGGAGGGTAAAAATGAGATTTTTAAGGCTTAAGAGCGCAGATTCGAGTTCTAAAACATAAGATGACCTTTTGGGTCATCACATTCTCCACCTCTAAAACAATCATTCGTCCTCGAACGGATATAGAAAAGTACCTAGGCTGGTGAAAAAGTGGGGATATCTACTCCGCATATCGGACTCGGACTCCCAAGTAGCTGCCTCAATAGGCTGACCTCTCCCCTGCACTCGAACTGAAGGGTAACTCTTTGATCTCAACTGGAGAACTTGCCGGGCTAGAATTGCCACCGGCTCCTCCTCATAAGTCAAATCCTTGTCCAACTGGACAGAGCTGAAATCTAACGCATGGGACGGATCGCCGTGATACTTTTGAAGCATGGACACATGGAATACCAGATGAACAGCTGCTAAACAAGGTGGCAACGCAAGCCTGTGAGCCACAACTCCCACTCTCTCCAGAATCTTAAAAGGTCTAATATACCTAGGGCTCAACTTGCCCTTCTTTTCAAACCTCATTACACCCTTCATGGGTGATACCCGAAGTAACACTCTCTCTCCGACCATGAATGCAGCATCACGAACTTTATGGTCAGCATAACTCTTCTTCCTGGACTGAGCTATGCGAAGTCGATCCTGAATAATCTTGACCTTATCCAAGGCATCTTGTACTAAGTCTGTGCCCAACAACCTAGCCTCTCCCGGCTCGAACCACCCAACTGGCGACCGGCACCGCCTACCATATAATGCCTCATAGGGAGCCATCTGAATGCTCGACTGGTAGCTGTTGTTGTAGGCAAACTCTGCAAGGGGCAAGAACTGATCCCAAGAACCTACAAAGTCTATGACACAAGCGTGGAGCATATCCTCCAAGATCTGAATAGTGCGCTCGGACTGCCCGTCCATCTGAGGATAGAATGTTGTGCTCAACTCAACCAGGCGTACCCAACTCATGTTGTACTGCCCTCCAGAAATGCGAGGTGAATTGTGTACCTCGATCAGAAATGATAGACACGGGCACACCGTGAAGACGGACGATCTCCCTAGTATAAATCTCTGCTAATCGCTCCGAGGAATAGGTAACTGCCACAGGAATGAAGTGCGCTGACTTAGTCAGCCTATCCATAATAATCCACACGGCGTCGAACTTCCTCTGAGTCCCTGGGTGTCCAACAACAAAGTCCATAGTGATACGCTTCTACTTCCACTCAGGAATCTCCATTTGCTGAAGCAAACCACCAGGTCTCTGATGCTCATATTTCACCTGCTGACAATTCAAGCACCGAGCCACATAAGAAACTATATCTTTCTTCATCCTCCTCCACCAATAATGTTGTCGCAAGTCCTGATACATCTTGGTGACGCTCGGATGAATAGAATACCGGGAACTGTGGGCCTCCTCAAGAATCAACTCACGAAGTCCATCCATATTAGGCACACAAATACGGCCCTGCATCCTCAAAACTCCATCATCTCCAACAGTAACCTGCTTGGCACCACCGTGTCGCACTGTGTCTCTAAGGAAAAGTAAATGAGGATCATCATCCTGTCGATCTCTGATGCGCTCAAACAAAGAAGACCGAGCAACTGTACAATCTAGAACACGATTGGGCTCAGAAACATCCAACCTCATGAACTGGTTGGCCAAGGCCTGAACATCCAATGCAAGC